CCCACTCAGTCCCTAAATCTGAAGAATATGTCTTTGAGGACTGATAAAAATGGAAAACACTGGTGTATTTATCTGATTGAGAGTACAACTGGAAGGTATCTTTGGCAGCTTAGAATGTAGTTCTTGAGCTAATAAGAAATGGTCTCAGTTTTTCTGTTTAATTTAGTCAGTAGATCATAGTGTGAATTTTAGATTTTTTCATTTTGTGTATCTGTGTAAACTAATATTTTGTGTTCATAACATACTAAGCTTATCTAATCTCTCTTTATTTGATTTGTTGATTTTTACAATTTTTACATTAAAAAAAATTACTGAGAGGTATTTTGTGTATCATGTGAGTCTTTGCATCTTTCTCTAGATTCCATGTCAAGCTAACACTAACTACCTCATTAACAAAGAGACAGGTCTCCAATTGGTCAGTTTCTAGAGACTGTGCTTGTCCTACTTAGAAATATCTTTCCAAATAGGTTCCCATCAACTACACTTGGAATAAGTTGCTGGCTAGAACCTTCCAGTCTTCTCTGGAAGAAAGTTAATCCTGTATAAAGAAACAAAGATATCTACCTTCTACTTTTGGATAGCTTAAAATTTAGCCTGAGTTCCCCTAGGAACTTCAAAGATGCTGCTGTTGCTATTTTAATATGAGCTAGAAGGAATACAATCACATTAAGCCTCTGGTTAAGTGCTTACCTCATCCAGACCCTCTAAGGTCTAAATCTGTGTCTTCAAATTCGTGTCTGTGTGTGTGTGTGTGCGTGTGTGTGCGTGTGTGTGTGAGAGAGAGAGAGAGAGAGAGAGAGAGAGAGAGAGAGAGAGATTGATTCTGCTTAGATTTTCTGTTGTTTCAACTAAAATTCTCAAACTCTAAATCCTACCCAAATTGCAAATTTTACTCATATGGAATTCTAATTTGAGCTTTACTTCTTTCAGCGTGTTTGCATAAGTCACGCTTGTTGAAAATAATTATAAAAAAAATTTTAACTAGAGGATGGAAATAGAAAAGAGAAATAAAACAGATGGTAAAGTTAAACTAGATGAGTTTTAAAGTTTGTTTTTTTGTTGTTGTTGGTTCCCCAATGAAGACTTAAAAAGATGAGATAAAACATAAATTGCATCCTGATATCTGCATCTGTGAACTAGTTGTAAAAGAAGAGAACTAAAAGAGCTGTGTATAAAGCACTCATGGCATTTTCTTTAATGGTATAAAAAACAGCAATCAACAATTCTAAATTATAATATCAGGAAGTTATAAAATATTTGGATAGACACAAATCAGAAATTGTGGCTCTAACAATGTATATTATCTACTAAAAATTAAATTAAATTTATTAGTAAATCCTTAAAACTTTAAGGAAAAGAAATCCTAAATCATTGCTATGAGGCAATATAAATGGTTTTTATATGCATAGTGACTGCATTTTTACTTTAAAATGTGCATAATATCAATTATATTCTTTATTTTAGTGGCTATCATTTAGTCATTTTTATAAACACAAAAATGACAATAAGAACCTTTTATCTTTTACTTTTTTTTGCCATGAGCTCTTAATTTCGTCAATGATTTAATCTTGTGTGGTAGTTATTAGAAATCTGACTTTCATTTGGGAAGTGACCATTGTTTTAACATGGGGGCCATTTATATCATTAATGTTGAGAATACAATTGCCATTGTAAAAGTGCTTGATTGGAAATTGCTCATCACAATTTCAATGAGAAAGTTCAGCATCTTTCTGCCACTTTAATGATAGAGAAAATGAATTGAAAATAGAGAAATTTAACTCATAATGAAGAGCATGGTTTAGAATTAATAAGGTTCTAACCTTCAAGATTTTTTTTCTTTTAACCCTTCATATTGTCCAGCCTGTTGCTTTTAATATAAATTTCTTAATCTTAAAGTCATTATGGAATATGCTTTATTCTTCATATTACTTCAATGAAATGTATATTCAACAGAAATCTTATTTTTTTCTGATTATAATTTTAGTTTAATCTCATTAACAGAAGTAAACAATTGTCAAATTATTAGATTATTTCATTTTAGTCTTATACACAACTGCATAATACAAATACTATTCAGGTCCCAATGACTATCAAAACTCTGATTAACCTGGGGGTTAAGTTAGATCTGGATTTTAACTCAAAGCCTCTCTGTGATTCCCAAAGCCATTTTTTCCCAATTATTCTCTCTGGCATCCTGCTTCTCAGTCTCTGTGTATATTAATTTGTCCCTGTACTGCATAGGTTAAAGGCTTCATACACTTTACTCTTTCCATAAAGTCATTTAGAATATATAAAGGGAATTTACATTTATTAAAAAAGTTATAAAGTCCTGAATCATTATGGAGATGAATGTCAGTCCGTGCTACATATATTTTGAAGCTCTGTTATTAAATGTATTATTTCAATTGATAAGCTGACCCACTTACATTTATGAAATAAAGCTCTTCATCTTTGATACTTTTGTATATTGAAATCTACCTTATTAATAAAGCTACACCACTATTTATTTTACTTGTTACGTGATATAACCTTCCCATTATTGCACTTTCATATATATGTCTACATTTTTTTACATAAAATGAGTCTCTTTTAAATGCATTTGATTGAGTCTTGCTTTATATGCTGTTGACAATCTCTGCCTTTTAATTGAAATGTGAAGACAATTTATATTTGCTGTGATCCCAGATATAGCTAGATTTAAGTATATATTATTACTCTTTGCTTGTTTTATGCTGTCTTCTCGTTCTCTCTGAATATTAAATATATTTGTTTTCTCTAAATAGGAGAAGAAATAGTTTATATTTATCCCTAAAATAGCTCATCAAATAGTCTCTTAGAAGTTAGCTGACATATTCAAAAGTTGATAATGCAAACTTTAAAGTAGAAAAGTAAATATTAGCTATAGAATTCCAAAAATATTTTAACCTACAAAAATGCATTTTACATTTGCATCATAAAAATAAGTTGAATATGATATTTTATTTTCTTTACTATATTGCATTTAACTTAAGTATCATGAAGAATAATGTTAATTCCTATTGTTCATAACTATTATGTAATCTAAACAATATATTTGTAAATAAGCATTAATTTAAATGCAAACTATTTTGTAACTCAATACAGCCAAAACTAGGATTATTAATTGATAGGAAAAATTATATGTTTAAAAAATTATTATAATGTTAAAACATTTAATAATGCATATTTTTTTATTATCACCTAAATTTTAAATCAATGATAAGACTAATAGTATTCCTTTTTTGCTAATACTTTATCTAATGGAAGCCAGTAAACTTAAACTAAGATTACATACACAAAAAAAAACAGAGTCTGCAAGGTGATGAAAAGTCCAATCAAATTTCTTTAAAAAATTTAAATTGAATTTAGAGTCAATACCATACATATAAGTGTTGGGCACTAGAATAGGTGATATCTCCAGGAAATTGCTGGTGGAAGAAGAAAAATTTTTAAATAAAATCAGAGATAAATACTCAGAGACCATCCTGAAAAAAAACTGGAACCAAAAAACAAAATATAAGCAAGATAACATAAAAAAAAACTCAAACCAATGTAAGAGAGACATTTAATTAATCAATTTCCTATTAAGAAAAGGATAAATTTTAAAAGAAAAATAAATGGTGGTTTTATATATATATATACATATATATATATCATTTGAATGTATGCATTCAGGAGTCACAGAGAGTAGGTTTAAATCTAGCTTCATTCATCCCCATTAATATATATGAATTTAGGAAAATATTTTAAAAGCTCAGTAGACTTTGTTTTTATAAAATAGAATGGAATTTATGTGGTGACCAAATAAGGTAATGATCATAAATGATATGCTATAATGTCAAATTTTTTATAGCTGCTAAATAATTGCTATCCTTTTGTCTTATGTATTCTTATATAGAATTCAATATTACATTCTTGTATACTATACAAGTAACATTTTATTTTCACATATGTTTGCAAAAGTACACATATAAATTTGACCAAGGTCTATTTTATAAGTTGGCTTTCTATTATTTTAAAAATATTTTGTTAAAATATTTTATACTACAAAAAAATAGAAAAAATAATAAAGTGAACATGATCCTGGCATACTTATTTTCCAAAAACCCATTAAAAAAATAATAAAGCATTACAGGTTTATTGGATGTCTGGTTTGTACTCCCCCTAATGTCATATCCCTTCTTATCTCCCTATAGGCAGTCCTAGTAAATTCAGTACATATAAATAATTCTTACACATGTGTGTATACTTTGCTATAGATTTATGCAATCATAAAAATGTTTTAAAAATTTTAACTCTTCATTATCATACTTTACATTTATCATTTTCAATAACATTTTAAAATTCAGCATCATGTTTGTTAATTATAAGTATTAATACATAGAACTTTGTTTACTATATCATAATTTATCCATTCTCCTACACATATGCTTTAGTTTGTTTCAGATTTTGAGTGAAAATTGTCGTCTATGTCACATTCAGTTACAAATCTGATAAGTTCTCCAATAGACAGACCTGAAAATACAATTGCTGAGTTGTAGGATATGCCTTACTGTGTGTAATATACACACTCTGTATTTTTAAAGTCATTTAAAAAACTATCTACCCCAAAAAGCAAACTTTTAAAAAATTTTGACTAACAATTTCCAGACTAATTTTATTTCCCATTTTAGTTTAAGAGCTTAAGGCATTAGTTACTGTGGTTTTATGTAGTACTTGATTAGCTATAATAAAATAAAAACACTGCCTAGAACACTTATTTTATAATAAAAACATTGCCTAGAACACTTATTAATGCTCTGCCAACATAATTCTTAATAAGTTAAAAATCTCTATTACTAAACTTTATATAACATGTTTAACTATACATATAAGGATATATTTATCTGGCTTAGATTAACAAAAGTATTTGAAATACAGACTGCCTGAAGCTGTTATGTTATGAAGTGCTAAATTACTTTGCCATGTATTAAATTACTTACTCTGAATCTTCCAATTATATTGAAACGCCATCCTTCATTCAGACAGTTGATGCTGAGCAGTCTACAGTGGTCAATTACTTTCTCACTGTTTTTTCCAGTAAATCTTGGCATACAACTGTAAATACATCAGTGTAAATAAGAAAAGTTGCAAATTAAATATTTTCATAAAAGTCTATTAACATTCTGCCAAAAATAATAATGCTGTGTTTAAATTACATACAAAATATATTATTACATTATATTTTCAATCATTAGTTTTGTCCATGGGTACTTGTGTTCTCAACAAAGGAGAAAAGATTTATCTATTTAGAGGGAATTAGAGTAAACTACATTTTCATTGAATGGTCTTAATATTATCTTTTGAGAATTTAAGGGCAAATCAACTTTGGTCTAAATGAATAGCTATCAATAAAATTCAGGTTTTGGAAAACTATTGGAATAAATGAGACCATTATTGAAATGTGAAAAGGAAAAAAGATAATGAAAGAGATTTTTACTCTTTAGTAATATTATTTGATACTGATGATGTGATATCAGGAGTTGATGACACAAATGAATTTTAGAGTAAAGAGTTACAGTGGACAAAATAGTATGACCATATTTTGGTTACTATAGAGCTTTATTTATTGTGTGACTCCTGAATGCATACATTCAAATGATATATATATATAATGGTGGTTATATATAAACCACCATTCTTACATTTTTATAAAGCAATCTTATAGTGTAAATATATTAACAGTTGCCAAAAATAATAATGCTTTGTTTAAATTACATACAACATATATTTTACATTATGCTTTCAATCATTAATTTTGAATAAGCTTTTCTGATTGAAATGTAAATGCCTGACATTAAGCTTTTGATTGCTGAGGCATTCATTTCAAGGACATTCATCTCAAATAAATGTATTGGCGGTTATATGATTCCTACTAGCTACACAACTAGATAAGAAGATAGGCCTCCTCTACCCATGAAGTTTTTATATTAGAAATCCCTGGGTAACCTAGAAACAGACCTCTTGAGTGACCCTGCTTTATCCTTCCTCTCCTTAAATCCTCCTCTTCTGTTTTATATTCACTTAATAAAGAGTGAACCTTCAAAACCCTAGGCACTCCACCTTCAACCCTAATACAGGCAGAACCCCATGACTGTGCCTGAGACAGAGAGCAAACAAATTTGGTTTCGCTGTACTACATACAGTTCATTAGCTGCAATCAATAAGGTGCTAAAGAACACATACTGGTGTTCTGGCTTCCATTGCCCTCACTCTCATTAATTTATAAGAAATATTTCTGTACTTTATATCACATTTAGTAAACCAAACGGGGTACTAAATTAAATGACAGTGTGTCTCTCTAAAATAAACACTAGAGAATTAAGACCAAAGATCATATTTCTTAAAACTAAGTTGTTATAAGCTGATTTAATAATGAAATGAACTGTATTTCATTATTGTACCATATATTCACTATTTTAAATTTCTTCTACAAACATAGGATACTTTCATAAAAGAAGAAATCAAAGGTCATATGGACAGAGTTAAACTGAAATAGCATCAGTAAAACACTTTTGTAATTTATCTTTCATGCTTTTCGAGGCACAGCTTTGCACTTTCATCTTGTTGAATTGAATCATTCCTTCATTTATATCAGTAATAACCATCCATTTTTTTTAGCACCTACTATATGCCAGCTACTAAGCTAATTACTTTTACACAATTTTATTATTTTGTCATTCAATTCTTATGAACCCTGTGTGAAATGCATTTATTACCATTATGTTATAAATGAAGAAATATACTCTGAGAAGTTAAGTTAGTTGCTTTGGTCATATCAGTAGTTTTTGAACTGTTATTAAAATTAAAAATAGTCTAATTTTAAATGTATTTTACTCTACTACTGCATTAATGAAACTTGTTAAGATATGTTTACCTAAATTCTCTCATTCTGAGGACCTAACCAGAGTTCTAGTAATCTTTCTGATATCACTTTGTTATGAAAGGTTATCATTTCTATCCTTTCCTACTTGGGGTAGGGGATGGCAGAAAGAAAGAAGCACTAGAATATACTAAAACTTTAATGAGGTGTGGTCACCATTTTCAATTTTCCTTTTGAGTGAGAATGAATTAAATTGACCAAGAATAGCTAAAGACATGTGTGAAACTTAGATTTATATTACTCTGAAGTTTATTTCCAAAGAGGAGGGACAGGTTTATGAATTAAATAACTAATATGTAGTCATTAGTGAGTAGATCAATGAGTTGTTGGATAAGATTAGGCAGCAGCAACTCTGAGAAAAATGTTTCCAAAAAGGAAGCAGGACCTATTGACGATAAAAAAATTGGGCAAAAGTGTTAACACTCTCACTACACATTAAAGAAAAGGCCTCCAAAACACCATCGGTGACACCTGATCCAAGGAAGTTTAACCCCAAGGATGAGGAAATCCGTAATTAGAAAATCTTCCTATTGAGTTATAGGCTATCAACCGTCCATGCCTTTACCATGAGATAGATATTCTTCTTGAATGTTAAGATATCAAGAGAGAATATAGACATATAAATATAAAAATGCAAAAGGGAATATAAGGAAAAAATAAAGGCTGATAATGCTAAGTATTCCTCTGTGTAAATATGCAAAAAAGTTTATGTCAAAATACAAATTGCCAAAATTAAACAAAAATAAGGCTAGTTGAATAAAGCAAAGTATTTGTTGGAAACTAACTCTAAAACATGCTTGGCTTCTTTATTTATATGGATAAATAAATCAAAATTCCATGAGATGATTCTCATGCTATATAAGCATTGATACTAAGAAAAATTTATACAAGCTATCTACTCATTATAAAAATTATGAGAACTCTGATGCAAAAGCCTCAAAAATTACAACAAAAAAAGTGACAACCAAACTTATATTTGAAAATAAAAACCATGTTGTATCCATTGACATAAAATTCTACTTCCAGGAAATTGTCCCAGAAATAACAACATGTAATAAACATAAATTTATACTCATATTTGCCCCACTGTATTACAAATGAAGTTTCCATATTATATCTTCTGATATAAGAGGTGATCAAATTCCAGTCTATCATCACCCGTCCCATACTACCGAGAATCTAAGGATGCTATAAACAAGAAACCAATTCCTTTCTAAACTGTCAATTCTTCTTCAGAGGCCTTAGTTATCAAAAAATACCATATAAATTTTATTTTTATTTTATATTAAAGAATTTATGTTATGTAACTAATTTAGGTTTTTATTTTCCTACATAAAGTATAGATTTTAGGCTATGCTATTATCCTGAAAACAAGAAGAGACATGATATTCTCAGATAATGGCAAAGTCCTACATGACTAGAGCTCATAGCAAAGGATGAAAGTAGTGAGAGATGAGAAGAAAGAGTTGAGGAAGGAATTTGTAAGTTACCAAAAAAAAAAAAATTCACCCAGTATCCAAAACCTAAGAGTAAAAATCAGGGGATTGGAAATTGGATATGGGAATAAAAGAAAATAAATAAACAACCAACAAAGCAGAAAAAATGATAGAGGATTTTTATTGTGTCATTAAACTGAAGACTATGATTAAATTAAATCACTATAACTGAAGTTCAAAAATAATGTGAGAGGTGAGACAGAGATATATTAGCTTGTCGAGTTAACATTTGAATGAAACCAAAGAGAAGTTAAGCCTCCTCTGCTTACCTTCAAAACTGCTGTCCCCTTCAATTATCTGTCATCCCCTAGTATACTAGGACTCCCCAAATCCATAATGCTACTCATGCTTCTACTTCTTGTAAATTCAAATTCTCCTGGTACTGAATTGTAGAACTAAGTTTTCATACCGACTCTATTGTAACGGCTGTGACTCTACCCAGAACATTACGCAAATTTTACTAAAGCTCACATTTTTACATCCATTCTACCCCAACCATGTCTTTCTCCTGTTAGACAATTCAGCTGTCAGCCCAAGCTGCTTCTCAGCCCTTCACTGCCGATAGCTTTACTGACTTCAATGAAAATATGTTACTCAAACTTCTGCAAAGTAACTAGAGTACTGCTCTACCACCTTGGAGAGCTGTGCATTTAGAAGATTCCCACAGCAGGGGTCTACATACTAAGGTCCTTTTGGTTTACACACAGTTCTTTACAATCAGAAGATCAGAGGATGAGTCCAGGTAATGGTACTCATTTCTACCTTTGACATGAATTCTCCTCTTTGGAGAGAGATTAAGGTTTCACAGACACTTTCCTCTCTTTTCCTTTTCCTTCCTTCCTTCTTTCCCACCCTTTCTCTTCCTTCCTTCCTTCCATCCTTCCTTCCTTCCTTCCTTCCTTCCTTCCTTCCTTCCTTCCTTCCTTCCTTATGAAGATACCCAGAGAAATTGCATAATTTGCCTGATATAACAGGCAAGAATTTGGAATTAAATGTCTTTCTTTCTTTCTTTTCTCTCCTTCCTTCCTTCCCTCTTTCCTTCCTTCCTTCTTTCCCGCCCTCCCTTTCTCCCTCCCTCCCTTTCTCTCTTCCTCTTTCCTTCTCGCCTCCCCACCTTCCCTCACACATTTTCCAGTTCAATATGTGTTCTATTATATGCATGAATGCACAGTCATGTCTACAGTTAAATGCCTTTAATGAAAGTCTATTATGCATATACATATTCAATTCCAGTTTTGCTTAACTTCATATCAAACAACTGCATGCCTTAACTTCATATCAAACAACTGCTCCACCATAAACAACATGCACATCATCTGAATTTCATTTGGATTTGATTCTGAAGTGTGCTGAAAGGAATCGAAAATTGGAATTTGTAATAGTATGCCTAGATTTTTTGTAAATAGTCTGGCAGAAGAATGGAGATTGGATTTTTACAAGACTATAGTATGGAGACTAATCAAGAGATTATAATAGCAACATGGGAGAAATGAAATGTATTTCATAGTAATATAGAGAAAAAATAATAAAAGATATTCAGGCGGGAAAATAAACAAGACTTGATGGAAATAATGTTGACATTTATTAACAGAAAGAAAACTACAAAGTGTCAAGTAGCATTTGGTACTTTTCCTCATATTCATAATATGTTTTCATATTTAGTAATTTTGTCCATTGTT